CAATAGAACAAGAAGATATAACAATATTGAATATCTATGCACCAAATGAAATACCTGCAAAATATATAAAACACACATTAACAAAGTTGAAAAAGGAGATAGATAACACTACTATAGTACCTGGAGACTTCAATACACCCCTTTCAAGAAAAGATAGAACTACCAAAAAAAATCTCAACAAAGATACTCAAGAATTAAAACACACAATTAACCAACTTGAACGTATAGATATTTATAGGCTAATGCACCCAAAAAAGGCACAATACACCTCCTTTTCCAATGCGCATGGAACAGTCTGCAGAATCGACCACATTCTAGGTCATAAGGCAAGCATCAACATATTCAAAAACATAGAAATTTTACAAAGTAACTTCTCAGATCACAATGCCACAAAATTAGAAATTAATAACAATAAAGGAGAAAAAAAATCATACATTTGGAAGCTGAACAACAACTTGCTTCAACACGACTGGGTAGAAGAAGAAATAAAAAAGAAAATAAAAAAGTTTCTTGAAACAAACGACAGAGAAGACACTACTTATGAAAACCTTTGGGAAACAGCCAAAGCCATAATCAGAGGTTAATTTATAGCAATTAGCAAACACATCAAAAGCCAAGAAAGATTGACCATTGACTCTCTAGCCCAACATCTCCAACAAATTGAAAAAGAACAGTAAGAAAACCCATCAGCTTCTAAAAATTAGAGCAGAGATAAATGAAATAGAAAACCAAAAAACAATTGCAACTATCAACAAAACTAGCAGTTGGTTCTTTGAAAAGGTCAATAAAATTGACAAACCACTAGCAAAACCCACCAAAGAAAAGAAGAAGACACAAATAATCCAAATAAGAGATTAATCAGGCAACATCACAACAGACCTAACTAAAATTAAAAAGTTAACATTAGAATATTATGAAAAACTATACTCAAACAAATATTAAAACCTTGAGGAAATGGACAAATATCTAGAAACACACAATCTACCTAAACTGACACAAACCGAAATTGAACATCTCAACAGACCCATTACAAAAGAAGAAAT